TACTGGCAATTACTTTTAGAAGAATATTTTTTGCTTCTATTTAAATTTAAATCGGTGAGGCAAAAGAAGTGCTCTGGCTTTGGTCTTTGACACCTTCTAAATATAATTCTTTAAAAACTAAGCTTTTATAGATGGGATATAAAACTTTTCTTAGATGCTTTTAAATACAGTACGTTGTTGATGTGCTCCTTGCTTCCACCCTTTGTGCTTTCGATTGTTTCTTTTGTTTTCTTTTCTGTACTTCTACGTGTCTTTTTTTCTTGAATTTTGATTACATGGAAAAACATTTTATCTTTCAAAGCTTCTTCCATCGCTTGATTACGAGAATAGGTTGAATGACTATGGTCGTTGCTTTTTTTTTTTTCTTTTCATTTCCATATTGCTATCGTTTTGGAAATGTTCAAACAGTATTTTGAGTAGTCGGGTAATTTTTTGCAAAAACATTTTGGAATTCGGTATTTAGTACAAATATTTTTTTCTTTATTATCAACATTGATTACGCATTATTTTATAGACAGATTTCTCTTTGTGAGATGAAGAATAGTTCGAGATATTCGGTGGTTTTTGGAAGCTTTTTGTCCTTTTAAAGTTTACTGAAAGCCCGAAGTTCTTTTGGTTCCCTTATGGGGAACCAAAAGTTTGCTTCTTTCAGTAGTTATCTACCATCGACATTCTCTTTCTGTAGGTGCCGTCGGTATGCCTGCCGTTGTTCAATACATGGTAAGGGTTTTGACCTTAAAACTCATTGTATCAAGGACGTCGAGCTGCATTACCTCAAGATAGGGGCCTTTGTTGGCAAAGACTGAATACCCTTTTAAGTAGAAAGACATCTTGCTTTACAGCAGCTACAGTTCCTGTTTAGTTTTTGTGGTTTGATACGTTTTTATTATTCAATAATAATGGAAGGGGTTTTCACAGGTAGTTGGTTCTGTGAAATCTCATTTTATTTCAGGTTCTAAACTTCATCGTTTTTCATTCTGGTGTGCCCTTGTTTGCTTATCACTTACATTGGTAACGACTTTAATACTGTTTTCTCTAATATTGGATAATTATATTCAATCGGATTATCAGCTTCTTCACTGGTAAGTTTTAAGCTTTAAAGTTGCACGGCATTGGAGAATCCTACCACCAAGCTCCTATTCGACCTTCTCAATAAGAAAGGAGTTTTTTTTTCCATTATAGGCATGTTCCTGTTACTACCCCAGCAGCTCCTCACCTTTTATGCGTTTTAGTACCATATCGTGATCGTGAACGGGAACTGAATGTCTTTGCACCTTATATTCATGACTTCTTAAACAACCAAAATGTTTTGCATCGAATTATTGTTATCAATCAGACTGACGAATATCGATTTAACCGTGCTTCGCTCATCAATGTTGGGTGGTTCGAGGCTGATCGAGTATGTTTTTGAGGCATTGATGCTTTACGCATGTTGAATTATATAATTATGAAGGTTAGACATCGTAAATCATTAATATTTTGGTATTGGTAAATTTTTTAAGCTTGGATGCGATTATCTGGTTATGCATGATGTGGACCTCTTACCACTAAATTCTGAGTTGGATTATACGTTTCCTGGATATGGTATTGTTCGTCACATCTCTTCGCCTGAATATCATCCGAGGTTGCTGTTTTACATAAATATCTCCTCACATCAGTAAATGAAATTAATTTAAAAAAGAGCTGTGCCTCATGCTTTTTTTTGAAGAGGTTATCTACAAATTTTTTTAGATATAACTACACGAAGTTTATTGGTGGCATTTTAATGCTTACATTGAAGGACTTTAAATTTGTCAACGGTTTGTCTAATAAATATTGGGGTTGGGGCCTTGAAGACGATGAATTTTATTTAAGGCTCAGGTTTGATTTTCTTGGTATTTGAAGGTAGAAAATTGATTATTAGGAATTTTAAGTCATAAAATGCAACTTTTAAGACTTGTCTGTCACTTTTTATTTTAAATTTTTTAGTAACTAAATATTCTTTTAAAATGTGGCTTTCTAGAGATGCAGACTTGATTCAAAGTTTACAAAGGCCAAAGGGTCTCACTACAAGTCGCAGGAACACTTTCCGCCATATTCATGACCCTAGAAAACGGAAGCGAGATTTCGCAAGGATAGGGAATCAGAAGGAGGTAAAATTGTTTTTTTATACTAGAAGGTTTTAGGAAGTGAAGAGATATTTCCTGTTGATGATAGCTGATTCTGTCTAAAATTTTTTTATACTTCATAACTAGTTTTTGAGATACCTACATTTTTCAGATTTCTCGTAGACGTGATACCTATAGCGGCCTAAATAACGTGAGATACCGTATTATATCTCGGTCCCTGCGTCGTTTTGAGAACGGAGGGCATTACCAAGTCTTAAATGTTAGGCTGTTCTGCGATCGCAAGTGGACGCCTTACTGTCTTTTTCCAGTGTCTGTAACAAAGCGAAGTTAATTTATTTTATTGTTCGGTCAGTTGTTAATGTCTGATGGATTTCTGCGTATTTCTTCCTTTTCGGTTTGTTTCTTGCTTGTTGGAACTTCATAGTCATGATGTCGTGGGATATTTTTTTTTATTACATTCGCTTCTCTACTTAATTGTGCTTGAGTTATTGATTGGAATTGATGGTTCTCAAAATTAGCTTGACGCTGAGCTTCGGGATCTCATTTCTCCTGAGAAATTCTCCACATATGAATCTCCATGGAATCCTAGCTACGTCTCTATAAAACTTTCCTTTTTAAAAATGCTTTACAGCTATAAAACAATATTTTCTCTGAATTATGGAGAATTTGTACATGTCTTACTTCTGGTATGTATAGTTTTTAGTGATTTTTTTTCTTTGATGAACTACCAGCAGCTGCCGAACTGAAATGAGCTGGTGATGTAACTGGGTTAATTCTTTTATATTGTGATCATTTATACTTAATGTTATTATATTTGTTGATTGAAATTCTGAATGATTCACTTACGATTAAGAAGACAGGTATATGTTGCTAGAAATAACGATCTTTATTTAAGTTGTGTAGCAGGAAGGAACCAGATTTAAATAAAGGTAACATGACGGCAATAAGATTCACGCTTTCTAGAAGTGTCATTGCCGTTTGAATTCGTTGCTTTTACACTGCGTTTTAGTGCCTATCACAGTGAAGCACTGACTTAGTCAATATTCTAGTACTTTGCTATACATTTTATATTTCGACTTGTGCTTGGCGTGGTGTGAGTTGCAACCTTCTTATGGTTGCAACAAGAAAGTAGGTTACACTGCTTGCGCATCTAAAAGTGGAGCAGTTGGGACTTGTGTATTTAATAATTTAAACTTAGAGCGCGGCCATTGATAATGTGGAGGGTGGGGTCTAGTGAGCTTGTTGTTTGGAATAGTTTTTGTCTTTTATAGCTGGTGGTCTTTTCGGCTTTTAAAGTTTGCGAGAAAAATAACAGTACAGAGATTGGGGATGTTCGGATCCTGTAAGGAGGTAACGTTGTCATACATATGAGGTTTATTAGGACTATCTGAAGTACAGTCGCTGTTTTTTTGTGGCGTTTTAGATGAGTTAA